GTGGCCTGCAATCCACATTCTGTATAAAACCTATCTTCAGCACGACTCGTTTTCTCCATCCTAGAGGCACAGATGAGATCCTCCATGTACCTGTCCTTGTGAATGTGCAACAGGGAATTTTAAAAGAAATGGTGGTATATGGAATGGGGCCAAGCAACGATACTGATTCATGGAAGTCAATATGTACTATGATGCATTATGTGATGTGTGTGGGAGCATGTGTGCGTGTGTCTTTGAGTACCTGTGTAATGCTGTCCCTAAGCTGTCACAATATCTTCTTTTCCACACATGTCTTTCTGTGTGTAGATTTTTTTTTTTTTTAGTTGGACTCTGTCCCCCAGGCTGGAGTGCAGTGGCATGATCATGGCTCACCACAGCCTAGTAATCCTTCCACCTCAGCCTCCTGAGCAACTGAGACCACAAGCACATGCCACCACATCTGATTCATTTTTAAATTTCTTTGCAGAGACGAAGTCTTGCTATGTTGCCCAGGCTGGTCTCAAACTCCTGGGTTCAAGCATTTCTCCTGTCTTGGCCTCCCAAAGTGCTGGGATCACAGGTGTGGGCCACTATGCCTGACCCCAGACCTTTCATATTTATCTCACTGCCTGTTGGCTGTCTCTCTGCCTCTCCTTTCCCCTCTCAACTGCCTCTTTTTACTAGCTATAATATAAAACTGAAAGGATCTTTAAAATAATTTTTGTGCCAATTAATTTGAGTTTTATGTTCTCCCTTATTAATTCAAAAAGAGATTGAGTGAGGCATTTTATACTCCTTTTAAAAATGTTTTATTGACATGATCTTCATTTTTTTCCCCTCTATCATTAGATCTCAAGGTAAATAGTTGCTTCACCCCTGATACCAGAGAAGGCAAGAGAAGAGATAAAATAAAGCAAGTGAGGCTTCATCCATCATGGTGCAGATCCAGTGGGGGGCACTCCTAGTCCTGCCCTTCCTCGAACTCACCCTCTCCCTTTCTCCTCTCTATCCTTTTCCCATCATGAATATTTTATCTCTCCAAGTGTACACTTTTATAAAGAAATAAAATATTTTGTTTTGTTTTTTGAGTCAGGATCTCACTCTGTTGGCAAGACTGGAGTACAATGGCATGATCACATCTCGCCACATCCTCAACCTCTGGGCTCAAGCAATCCTCCCACCTCAGCTTCCCAAAGTGCTGGGATTACAGACATGAGCCACCACGCCTGGCCTAAAATCAGTTTCTTAACTGTTCCCAGCCACCAGTAACTAACATGTCTGTTCTGCTCAACCTCCTTCCATGCACACATACACACAGTCCTTAAAAATCAGTCATATGATGAGTTGAGTGTAGAACATCAAAGTACTCTCAAGGTTACTCAGGCATCAGCCCCTCCTTTAGTGGTAGAAACCCTTTTTGGTGGGAGGGATGCTTTTTCCTATATGGGCTAGCCACCAAAACCTAACCTGACAGCTTACACCTGGGAATATATCTGGTCCACCTTGGGAGGGCATTGAGCCCTGGGACCCAGAGCAGAACTCCACTCAAACTCATTCTGTACAGGATGTTGATGCCACAGCCCTCCAGATGTGGTCCTGCAGGACTGATGAGCTCGTTGACACTCCAGGAGATGTAGCATTTGCTTGTCGCCTCAACAAGAAAAGCATAACTGCCTTCATCTCTTCTGTCAAAAGAATGACCTTCTTCATTTGGTGTGGAGCCAAATGCCAGATGATAATGCAAGATAATAACTCCAAAGCAAGATAATGACTTATTTGAAATGATTCCCTTTGAAATCACCTTGTATTTCCTATCCCAGTTATAATTCAGCTAATTGATTAATAATTCTGTATAAAAGTCTCCATTTCTGCAAACATCAATTCTTTAGACCTACTTTTTTGAGTTGAAATCTCTGCTTCTCTAAGTATCTTCTGCCTTTTTCTCCCATCTGCACTTTTGCCTAAGCAACATTCTGATGACATAAATAGCATCCCTTCAAAAAGGTTTTGATCAAGGTGTCTCTCTATGTCCCAGAGCCCAAGCACTGTAATCTGTGTCCTTGAAACAGTACCTGTGATGGGAAAGATCTAAGACCATGTCTTGAAGAAGAAAAAAAAAACTTCCCTGCCAGACAAATAAAGCTGTAATCCCTCCAGAAGCCTGGGGCATACTGTACTTGACAAAGAGAAAGGCTGCCCAAGAAAGAAAAACCAGGCCCAGCCTCCAGGGGTCTGCAAGCCCAAGTGGCAGCTACTCAGCTGGGGAATTCAACTCTGTGGTACATTCACATATAAAAAACTATCCTGGCTGGGCGCGGTGGCTCATGCCTGTAATTCCAGCACTTTGGGAGGCCAAGGCGGGAGGATTGCTTGAGTTCAAGAATTTGAAGCCGGGCTCGGTGGCTCAGCCTGTAATCCCGCGCCTTTGGGAGGCTGAGGTGAGTGGATTGCCTGAGCTCGCGGGTTCGAGACTCGCCTGGGCAGGGAGACCTCATGTCTTCAATAAATCAAAAAGTCAGCCGGGCGAGGTAGCGCGCGCCTGTAATTCCAGCTACTCGGAAGGCTGAGGCAGAAGGATCGCCGGAGCCCAGCAGGCGAGGCTGCGGTGGCCGGGAGCAGCCACTGCACTCCAGTCTGGGCGACAGAGTGAGACTCCAACTCAAAAAAAAAAAAAAGAATTTGAGAGCAGCCTAGACAACATAGCAAGACCTCATCTCTACAAAAAATCACCAAAAAAAAATAGTTGGGTGTGGTGGTACACATCTGTAGTCCCATTTACTCAGGAGGCTGTGGCAGAAGGATCGCTTGAGCTCAGGAGTTTGAGGCTGCAGTGAGCTATGATTACACCACTGTACTCCAGCCTGGGTGACAAAGTGAGACCCCCACACACACAAAAAAGTGATCCAGGCTAAATCCCTGCTCAGGTAGAGGACTTCTAAGAGCATGGCAGTGTGGGACCACAGATACACACACACTCACACATACCCTGCTTGGTGGAAGAATGTGCCCCATGGAAGCTGAGCATCATTGTGTTACAGGCACACTCCCTGTGAAGACAGTCTATGACTCACCCCTTGGGGCAAAGGTGAATTAGGCTAGGCTACCTCTGACATGTTCCTCAACATTCTTCTCTTCTATGTTCTATGAGCTGAACATTTCCAAGGTTGCTGACTTGAAATGATGTTTCTGGCACCCAGCTTTCTAAAATCAAGTTGCTTCATCCAAATGCTCACATTCTAGAAAGGGCCAACACAATTGTTCATGCCTTTGAAAAAGTGAAAAGGGTCAGGAATAAACTTAGAGGAGAGGTCTAGATCTTCTATGCCAAAAATGTTCTCAGGCCAGTGATGAATAAGAAACTACCTAGATTACCACCGAAAGAGAGAAGAAAGAAGAGGGCAGAGTGGGAAGGAGGAAATGAGAGCCCATCAGATCAGACAGCAGGTGTTGGAAGCAAAGGAATTGGGTGTCCAGGGAACAGGCAGAGAAGACAGTCCATTAACCTGAGTTTCATGGAATGCTGAATTTTTATTATTGTTATTTATTATAACGATGTGGGGTACAATTCAGGGTTAGGTATAGAAACATTGCTTATGCGGGTACTCTTGTTGATGAGGTGTGCCCCTCCCTCCCCTGACAGTTTCCCACTACTGTCAATCCCTTTCTTATAGTATTATAATAATTGTTCAAGGTCCGCTTGTGAGTGAGAACATATGGTACTCTGTTCTTTGTTTCTGTGATAGATCCCTGAGTATGATCGACTCTAAATCCATCCAAGTTGCTGCGAAGTCCATATGTTTGTCCTTCTTTATGGCTGCATAATATTCCATTGTGTATATGTACCACATTTTTAAATGCTGGATGTTTTTAAATAAACCTATCTCAATAGGCCCATCTGTGAGTCCAAATGCACCCCTAGGACCTGGAGAGAGTGAGATTCTCTTGGAGGGAAAGTGAAGAACTACATGGGCACTGGCACCGCTCAACCAGGGACTCAGACTGTGGTCAGCAAAGACAAACTCATGCCCAGGTCATCTACAGGGTATTTTTGCTTGCAAGTTCCTTTTAGGCAAAGGTGTCACCATCACTGAATGTCCCATTCTTTTCTATTTGACCACAATATCCTGCCAAGTGAAGTCAAAGCTGATGAAATTGTTCTGGGAAAGAATGGAAGAGAGAAGTCTGTTCTCCTGCATGACCTGATAGACCACTTGATACTCAACACCTTTTACCAATTCTGTGAGGCCTTGGAGGGAGGCAATTAAAAAACTATAAGACAGCATCATCCAGAGGGTGTGCACACAGCCTTGAAGGATCCAGTGCAAACCAGGTTTTAGAGTTCTAATTGCTCTATGTGTGTTTACAATTGATTTTTACTTACCTTTCTTTAAAAACTACTCTGCCTTGCTATGGGATAACCTAGAATTTAAATGATGTCCTCAAAGAATTCTAATGGCACATGGAACTATTGCTCGGCCCATGCATTTTTAACTTTTTCTTTTTCTGCTGAATGATTTTTCTTACTGGAGATCTAACATTCTCTGAGTCCTTGCTTTCTATGCATTTTTATTCCTCTAATCAGGGTGGTATGGCCGGAGGAAGCCAAAGATAAAACTAATAAAAACAACAATGATGCCTAACTCTTAGATAATGCCTTGCATTAAATAGAGCTGTTCTAATTATTTCACATGTGTTGATTCACTTCAGCCTCACCACAGCCTTATGAGGTAAGTGCTACTATTAGAACCATTTTACAGATGAGCAAATGGAAACACAGGACGATAAGACACTCGCCCAGGGTCACACAGATAGCAAGTGACAGAACCAAGGTATGAACCCAGGAAAGCCGGCTCTCAGGACTATGCTCTCCCTCTCTGTGAATCACGCAGCTGTCTCTCTGCACACCATGAATGGAATGGCCAGGAATGACAATGCTATTTTTCATCTTTAAAAATAAAGTGTGAGCTCTTAACTTATTAACTTTTAACCTTAACTATTCTGTTTTTTTCTCCCACACTCTCAGATGATGGAAATGCTTAAGGCAAGCTAAGGTAGTGTGAGACCACACCATGTAAGTGTGAGCATGGCTTTGTGGGTCCAGCTGTGTTTTGTGCGCACTTCTGCCTTCGGTTCCCGCATGAGTTCTCCGCTGTTCTCCGATTCCCGCTTTGGGCTTGGCGCTTGGGCCGCATGCACCGCTGCTTTTAAGCCGTCGATCTTATGCCTTTTTTCTTGGTTTTCTATTTGTGCTTCTGCCTCCCACAATCCCTGTCACAGGAGTAAGAGCCTGAGCATTTGCAGCTGTCGGCCTGGCACTTCTCCGGGAAGGAGATGGGGAGTCCTGGGGGATGCATTTGGCTATTGTTCTCTGACAAGGAGCCCTCAGATTGTCAGCTTTTAGGATTCTAGGCATGTGACTCCAGGCTCTTGCTGCAACATACTACTCCAAAGTGGAGAACCATGCGTGGGGGGCATCTCTAGGCGGCCATGGCCTTTGCTATGAGTGTTCTGGGGCTGCCAGCCTTGAACGGATTATTGCTCTGGGAGGCCCCATGGGAGTGGATGCTGTGTGAAAGTAAATGCCATTGTGCCAAGTAACAGGGCACAATGGGCCAGGGGAGAAGTGGTCACTTTCTCTGTGTGATATGTCTATGATGGGCACGCAAATATATGTGAAACAATATGTGAAACGTGACTATGACCCAGAAAGAATCATGACTTTTAAGCCCAATGTGGACGACCATGGCCCTTCATCATAATGTCCGCACACACATATGTGTGCACACACAGTTCTTTCTGGTGTTTCTTGATTCTCCATATTTCCAATTTGAGTGATTCAATATAGGATAAGCCAGATTTACAGGATAAATTGGCAAGGAGGTATTTGTGCCTAAGAATTTATCTGAAACATTTAAAATGCAATACTGCCTTACTGTATAGCCTTCCACCATGTGTCTGTGATTTCAGGGTTGGAACTGTCTCTTGTTCTTAATTTCACTAAAGTTTCTAGGTTGTGCTGAATGAGAATTAGGAGGAAACTTTCCAAGTTAGTTATCAGAGATAACAAGAATTTAACAAAGGAGGGGCTCTGGGCCAGACACAGTGGCTCATGCCTGTAATCCCAGCACTTTGGGGAGCGAGGTGGTAGAATCTCTTGAGCCTGGGAGTTTGAGACCAGCCTGAGCAATATAGGGAGTCCTGATCTCTACAAAAAAAAAAAAAATCAAAAAATTAGCCAGGCATGGTGGCATGCACCTGTAGTTTCAGCTACTCAGGAGGCTGAGCCAGAAGGATCACCTGAGTCCAGGAGGTCAGGGCTGCGGTGAGCTAGTATTGCACCACTGGGCGACAGAGTGAGACCCTGTCACACACAAAAAAAATTATGTTGAGGGCCTCTCATGAGAGGTGACTGAGTGCACCCAAGCCCCTGCAGTTTTGAGACCCAAACCCATCATGTTAGCACAGAGTTCTAGAGCTGATGAGTTCTTAAAGATGAATCCTCTGCTCCAAATCCTTAATTCATAGAAGACGACTAAGGCCTCAAGAAAGTAAGTAACTTGCCAAGATGTGGCACAGCGTGGATGAAAACTCCATCTTCTGCTTCCCATCAAAGCGTCTTATTGGTGTGGTGTCACGGTTCATTTCTCCCTGGAAGAGACCCCCATACGCATCTCAAGAAATGCTTTTTAGAAGTGAAGACAAGTGAAGGAGCCTACATTCCCAGAAAGGACTTCATGTTCCTATCCTGGCTGTGCCACTAAATATCTGAGTGAGCTTGACAAAGACACTGTGCCTCTCTGGACCTTGGGCTCCTCGTCTGTAAAATGAGTTTGAAAATATCTGATTGCGAAAAGGTATGTGATTTAGCTAAGACTAAATTGCTCATGAACCTTGGGATGTTTTTCATGCGGTGTTCATCTTTCACTAAAGGATTATGAAAAAGCTACTGTCAGACTGTATGAATGAGGACCGCCTTCAGAAACAAGAGCCCTGTGAGTCTCTGTTACCAACCGAAAAAGAACAAGGGCAGGAAGGAGAAGGCACACGGGAGAAGCGAGGAGCCCACCCCCTTTACAGGGACCTATCAGACCCCAGTAAGACATGGCAAATTCCAGTTTGTCAACTCAGATATGCTGATCTCTGCAGTGTGGGGTTATCTGGTTGTTATCTTTGTCTCTCTTCCCAGGATACCACTGGTTTGAGCTCTGGCACTTAAAGAAACCCAGTAGGTCAATAAGGCTCCGCTTTCTCCTTTCAGTGTATCACTAACCAACTTAGCAAGGGCAGGGAAGTCTCTTCGGCCGTCAGAGAACAATTGGAAAGCCAACAGGCAGAAATAGAAACACACACACGCCAGCTTTCAGCACAGTTTTGAGATATACCCTTCCTTTACATAAAATTATGGAAATACAGATATTAATCAAATATGCAATGTCATTTTAACAGAGCTTTCTTTCTTCCGTGGTAAATGCATGGCATTTTTATGATGAGTCTTTTTCATAAAGCAAAGAATCATTGCTTGATTTAACATCTTGGTCCATTTGGGTGTTCCTCTACCACATTTGGCTTAAAATGCAACTTTTTCCAAAATGCCCCATCTAGTCTACAGCAGCCTTCAGTGGATCTGACACTGATTCAAAACTGGGTGGGAGGAGCAGGACAGGATACAGCAGGATGGGGAATACCACGGAGGTGGCTAATTTCTCATGTACTGCTTAGGTTCTATCTAATGCTGCTGGACAAAACTCAGCACTGCAAAGAGCTATGGCCTCAGACAGTATTACCAGGATGGGATTTCAGCTCCAGAATTTTGGCAGAGCAGGGGAGCTTAGAGGCAGCAAATCTAGCTGGAAAGTTTGTGCAAGGGGGCTCTTGAGGCCGCATTTGCGTGGCACGTAAGATTGAAAAATACCAATCAGCCAAGTCATTCTGAGGGAGCTGCTGTTGAAAATGATGGAAGGGGACAACAGGCACCTTTCTGGCAGCCATCATTGCCCTGGGGTTACCATCCCTTCTCCTGTGACAACTGTGGCACTGTGTGAAGAGGAAAATGGCACCGTGGGGCAGCCACACAAGACCGGTTTGTCGTCCCGCTAAGGATGCTGAACAGGCAGGCGAGGGTCCTACCTCCTCACCTTACTTCTCCCTTTGCTGGAGACTCCTGAACAACAGTCAACCAGCTTGGAGCAGGGTGGGTTCAGGCGTCTTCGAGTCCTTCTTGGTCCCTTCCTAAGATAATCATTGTCCTGCTGAGACCTCTAGTGACCAAGTTGGAAACTGCAGGTGTCAAGGAAGGAAGGAAGGGAAGGGAAGGGAAAGGAAAGGAAAGGAGAGAGGGAGGGAGGGAGGGAGGGAGGAGAAGGGAGGAAGGGAGGAAGAGAGGAAGGGAGGAAGGAAGGAGGGAAAGAGGGAGGGAAGAAACTAGGAATGAGGGTCCTGTGGGCTGTCACTGAGCAAAGCACTCTATGGTCTGTGCAGGTCACAACCTGAAATGCTTTGTAGGTGGAAGAAGGGGAGCATCTGTGGTCTGAGACCCTGAAACATCAGCCCAGAGGCATGGTGACCTATTGTCCTGTGAATATGCCCAGCTGGCTTTTCAGAAATCTTTTTTCTCTGGTTAGCCACAGTGGTGAGGCCTCTGCATTTGCCTTCCTTTCTGCTTCTGGTTACTCCCACCTATTTCTGGAATCTATCAGAAGCTGTAGATGTGGTCAATCCTTGATGTTTTGTCCTTGATGTTTTGAACAGACCCAAAGCCAAATGGTCTTGAGAGTCTGAAGAATCAGCCAACAGAGCCTGGCCATCTGACAGAGACACACCAATCCACATTTGCCCCTTGAGGGCCCTGCATAGACTGGCCTGGCTCCTGGGGTCGGGGTGGCCCTGCACTGCTTCCCCACACATTCACCTCTCCGACAGACAGAAAACCCACCACCACCACTGCCTCCAACGTTCTGATCCTGAGGGCTTCCCCAGGACGGGAAGTAGGTTACACCTGACTGACACAAGATTAAATTGTTTTAATTGTTCTAAACCAGTGGTTTTCAAAAGGTAGCCTCCAGATGAGCAGTGGCAGTATCACCAGGAACTTGTTAGACATGCAAATTATCGAGTCCCAGACCTACTGAATCAGAAACTGGGAGGAGCCCAGGAATCTGTGGTTTTTTTGTGGTTTTTTGTTGTTGTTGTTGTTGTTTTGTTTTGTTTTGTTTTGAGTTGGAGTCTCACTTTGTCGCCCAGACTGGAGTACAGTGGCCGCTCCCGGCCACCGCAACCTCGACCTGCTGTGCTCCAGCGATCCTTCCGCCTCAGCCTTCCGAGTAGCCGAAATTACAGGCATGCGCTACCACACCCGGCTGATTTTTTGATTTATTGTGGACATGAGGTCTCGCTGCCCAGGCGGGTCTCAAACCCGCGGGCTCAGGCAATCCACTCACCTCAGCCTCCCAAAGGCGCGGGATTACAGGCTGAGCCACCAAGGAATCTGTGTTTTATAAGGCTTCCAGGTGATGATTCTGAGGTCTCTCAAAATTTGAGAACCACTGCTCCAAGCACAGATTCTCAAATGTCTAGAGATATAAGATTACGACTCTCAGCTTATTTGAAATGTGCAGGGTCTGACAATTAAGTTCTCAAACTTGCCATCGTGTGCCTTTGTTGGCAGCATTGGACAAAACAACTCGATAAAGCGTCATAACCTCGGTAGGTCAGTGTCTCACAACTGTGTTCGTATCGACATGTGATGGTGTCTTGCTGAGTGGCGTTCATCATTGTTTTTGTGTGCCATCGCAAAAATGTTGGCGCATGAATTACAGCAGTGAACAAACATTAAATTTCTTGTTAAACTCGGCAAGAGTAGAAACAAAATCAGGGACATGTTAGTCCAAGTTTATGGGGATAATGCCATGAAGAAAACGGCAGTATACCAATGGATTAAATGTTTTTCTGAGGGGAAAGAAAGCATCACTGAAGAAGAGAGGGCAGGACAGTCAGTATTGAGCAGAACTGACAAAAATCATTGCAAAAATTCATCAAGTTGTGTGTCAGAATTATTGGCTAACTGTGAGACAC